AATCATTTTACACCGAACAACAACTTACCTTTTACATTTCCAATACATAATTTGATTTGATTCTGTTACACATCAATCAATTATACCATTGGTTTTAAATTCTTTTTGGACATATCAAATCAAACCATGTAGACACAAACCAAAGTTGATTGGTTTAGTTTGAATGGTCTGATATTTACCCATTCAGCAGTACATCCCCAATAAGAAGAACACATGTCATGTCTCTGAAACTTGGTTTGGATGAAAGCGAGATGCTCAACATATGTCGGATTCTTCAGTATCTTTCATAGATTCCCATTAATGTTTTTTTTTTTACTAATATTAGGTTCACGTGAGATGAATCTGTTTTCATGAGACCTACGAGAAGTTACCTTCATTGCGTTTTGCTATGAAGTTTCAAGTGCAAAAAAAAAAAGTAGTCTCAGGTTCTCACGAAAACAGGTTGGTCTCACGTGATCTCAAGTTTTTTTTGACTAAATAGAGTACATGTTTTATTTTACAATCATTTTTTATTAAAAATGTACAAAATAGATCTTGATGTTGATGTGTGTTAGAAAAAAATCAACATCGGTTTTAACTTAACAAGTCGAGCTTCATAAAACCAATGTTCGGCTCGCCTCGTTCAAAAGCTCAATTAAGTTGTTCACGGAAAATACGATAAAAATATAAAATTATCAACCTTGAGTCAATAAACGAGTTAATCGATCGAGAGTACAAGCCCATAAATGAGCATCAAGCTCGAGCTCGATAACTCGGAAAATATTCGAGCTTGAGCTCGAATAACCTACTACTCACTCAGCTCGGCTCGTTTACACCTTCGAGTCCTCTCTCATCCCATCTAGTCTAGTTTGAGTACCAAACGAAGCCTAAAAAAATAGTCAATGATGTGTCCCTGCAGCTGCAGTCTTGCCTACAGACCCAGGGTCTGTTTGCTATGTACACAAATTTTCAACAAAATAAGACCAACGAATGGTGGCAGATGAACTTCCATTCGTAAGCCCATTGAATGATGTGGTTATCCCATTTACCATGAACACAGTCGTCTCTCTTTTAGTAGCTTAATAAGACTCACAACTTATTTAGTCAATTATACATGACTGTTTGGTAGTGGCTTAACGTATAGAACGTGACATATTCAGTAAGCTTCTAGAGCGAAGCTTTATGCAGAAAGTCAAGTTTTTTTTTCCAAACTTGTTCCTCCAATTAAAAAACATGCTCCTTCCATCTATAAAAAAACCCTCCCAAACAAAAACCTTCTCAATCTATACATATAGTTTTATCCATACATGAAAGAACGGGTATTTAATATTAAGGTTCGACTTATTTCATCTATTTAATAACTCTTTTTTAAGACGTCTAGAAGATGAGAAAACTTTTTTAATATTGGGGTTTGACTTGGTATCTAGCAACTCTTTATGAGGCGCGCCTAGGCCCACAAGGCGCCTCAGCCAAGACGCAGGGCCTTAGTGAGCCTCGTAAATGTGCCTAACCTTGACTTTGAAAAAGCCCAAGACCTTGAGCCTTATGAGCCTCGGAACCTAGGCATGCTTTTAACAACTATGCCACCAAGCATCAACTCGAAGCACCTAGAATTTGAACATATCTACTCTATAATCCATTTTCATGTCAAACCCTTTTCATATCAAAAGAAACTTAAGCCAGTTACATTTAATTAACACCAAAAAGCCCATCATCAGAGTTGGCTTCACTGCATGAACCCTGTCAAAATTGCAAAGGGATACTTGGGAAGGTTGAAATCTCATACTCAGGCTCGAATACAACTTAACAGCCCTAACAGTGATGACGAGAAAACAAATCAGAGGTAAACAACAACAGCTTCTAACAGCAATGAAGAAGGGTAGAGGGGGGAATTAATGGTTGAAACAGGACAACACAACCATTCTGGCTATTTGGTCCAACCAATTTTGGCCATAGCTTAATCGTTAAGCCGTAAACAAACACCTAAATATAGCTTACTAAATGAGCCATCCAAACTATTTAGATGGCAAAATGGTGTATTGGGAGAGAGAGAGTCCTACCTGAATGATGTGTCATGTCCATCCCATAATTGAAAGTAAAACATAAAATCCATCTTCAACTCTTACTTATCAAGAAAGTCATGCCTTTTGGAGTCCCAATTGAAATAGTTTGTCGGATGGGGTAATCTTAACCAAGTTACCTTATCGGATGCTGAACCTATTGCTTGCGATAAGCTCCTTTATGAACAATTTTCCTATTTTGTTCTGTGAAACTGGTTTAAGTTGATGTTTTGATGGTTGAAACTATATTTTTAGTTAATGCATATAATATGTTAAGTTATGTCTGCATACATACATACACACACACACACACACACACACACACACATATATATATATATATATATATATTATAATTCTAAGAAATATCATATGAACCGCTATTTTTGGACCATTATACTACCGCTATTTCAAATATCACTCCTGACCGCTATTTTGTATTATGACCGTTGTAACAACATAGCTGAATGTATTACCACCAACAAACCTTTTCTTGTTATGAAGGTGAATATAAACATATCAGCGTTTGTCAAAAGAATTTGTCCAAAGATCATAATGGAACTAACTTGGAAGAGATCAAAGCAACATTTTATGGCTTTATTACATCTATTATCGACAACATTGAAAATACGTAAGGAGCGTTAAGAGTCTCTTGCCACTTGTCATGGAAATTGTACCCATCTTGGAAGTCTTCAGACCAAAAAGTGTCAAAAAGCTGGTTCATTAACCATATGAACCAAACAAACCTAATGAGTCTCACACAGAGTAGGGTCTGGCGATGATAAAATGTACGCATACCTTACCTCTATCCTGAGGAGCAGAGACTCCCCCGGCTTGTAAAAAGTTTTAGATAACATGTTTTTGCGAAGAAAAAAATTGGTTCTAAAAGTTAGACAAAAGTCTGAAAGATATGAAAGAGAAAATGAATGATAGAAAAGAGGGTTGGGAAAGTCGAAGAGAAAGTAACAAGAAAGAAAACTAAAGCATGTACGGACTATAAAGGCGAGAAGGTACTAAACCGCTCAACAAACCAAGGACGGAGTAGTTGCTGACTCTCTATAACCCTCCCCCAACCAATGGCGCAGATACCTAGTTGGCCATCCTAGTATGTTAATACCTACTTTTCGACTCTCTAACCCACCCCTTCCCAGACATTCCCTTGCTCCCATTAACCACAAGTCCTTACACACAATTTGCCTCCCTAGTCATGCATCCCCACTGACTCCTATTTGAGGTCATGTCTTTAGAAATGTCTAAAGCCACCATTTTAATACTAAATTTTCACCTGTAGTAACAGTAGATCAATTGTGTTTCTTTTGCCTTCACATGAATCACAGTGGTTTGAATTTTGAATTAAGTGCATATTTAGTACTCTGGAAGTAAGCCTTCACTACTGTTTTTTTCATTTTTCTTGTTATAGTTTTGTTTTTTGTATTCTTCTTGTTGATAATTCCCTGGTTCATTCGTAAATATGTATTTCTAGATGCTACTTTTACATGAAAAGTCACATGTAGGTGATATATTAAATTAAATTAAAGAGAGCATTGAATGTAAAACCCTTAGATTGATCATTTTTACTCTCGAATTATACAAATTGAATTGCTCTACTTTGTGGTTTGTTGTAGTTTCATAGAGGTTTGAGTTTGGAACCGAGTGCATGTTTAGTACTCTGCAGGTAAGCCTTCACTATGTTTTTGTTTTTTGTATACTCTTGTTTAGGGGTGTTCATCGGTTGAAATCCAATGGATTTAGGTGGATCCGATCCAATCCAATCATCCAATGGATGTTTGGTTTTTGTCATCAGATTCAATCCAATTAACATTGGGTATCAAATCCAATCCAATCCAATGGGTGATTGATCGTATCAGTTCCATCCATTGGATATTACTACTGGTTATCCATTGGATTCATCCAATATTTTGAAACAACTTTCAAACATTTAGTCCACCATTTTCAACTAATTATTCATATATTTTCTTAATTTATCAAAAATCACCTTATAAACATCAACCAAAAAGCAATATCATAAAATGTTAATAATCATATATAATTGCTTATCTCACGTCTTCCTCAGCCTGCCCCTCTCTTCACACCCTCGGCCTTGACATCCTCCACCCTCGTCACTGGTGTCAATAACAATCTCCTACGAGCATACCCACCACCGCAGTTTTCCCTCTCTCGTTTTATCCATGATACCGGCTATTCTCAACTCCACTCAAAAAGACCTTGTTTGATATCTTTTCTAGTATGGTCTGGCCACAATATGTAAATTTGGGGGAGTAGATAAATGGTGTCAAGAGGTACATGTTTTATGAATGGTCTAGGATCACCAATAAGAGGAGCAGATAAAATAAAAGAACAGCAAAAAGAATACATCTAAGATCAGTAATTCAGGCTTAGTTGATGTCTTGCAGGGTGCTAAATACTAAATATGCACATGCCCAAAACTCTAAACTGAGCAACAAAGTCCAATTAATTTGGGCGTGAAACATATCAGTTACGATTTTACATATAGTACTATGCTGCATTTGGTGTACGATCAATTGCAGATGATTTTTAGTATTATAAGTAGTGTCAAGTAGTGCATGTTTTATGGATTAATCAGGATACCAATGGCAGAAAAATTAATAACACCATACGAAAAACATAGTGAATGCTAATCTATAGAGTACTAAACATGCACTCACTTCCAAACTCTATGAAGCCACAGCAAACCCTCAAAGTCTAGCGATTCAATTTGTACAATTCAAAGCTAAAATGATCAATCTAAGAGTTTTACATTCAATACTCTAATTTAATTTAATATCATCTACATCACTATATGTGGCTTTTCATGTAAAAGTAGCATCTAGAAACACAGATTTGGGAATGAATCAGGGAAATCCTTAAACAATAAGAATACAGAAAACAAAACTATAACAAGAAAAAAAAAACGTAGTAAAAGGCTTACCTCCAGAATACTAAATGTGCACTCAATTCAAAATTCAAACAGAATGATCTACTAATATGAAAATTTGTGTTGAGATAGCGTCAACAAGTACCTATTTCATGAATGAACCTGAAATCGTCAACACGACGATCAACGAAAGCCAAAAAACAATGATAATAAGATATGAAGAATTCAAACCACTGTGAAACCACGCGAAAACCACAAAATAAAGCAATCGAAATAGCATATGATGAACGACATTTGAAGGCTTAACCTGCTGAATGTGAACCAGATGCTCAATACAAGATTCAAACCGCCATTAGAGCACCAGAAGCCATGAAAAAGATCAAAATCTAATTCGTATAAAGCGAAGCAAACTAGTTTGATGTGAGAATCTCGAATACACAATACAAATGCCTTTTCGTGTTAAAATAGGTGTTTAAGAACCGAGTTTGAGAACGAGGGGAATCTCAGTTTTTTTATAACCACAAGTCTAAGTCTGATCTGCGTCATGATTTTAATGTTTTGTTTTGGTTTTTTTAAATGATATAATAATACAATTTTATGTGATTTTAAAAAAATTATAATTTTTTTATTTTTAAATAAAATCTAAATACGAACATATATCAGTAAAAATTGAAAAAAATATTGCTATTAATATCAAATATGAGATGATTATCTTTTATATGATTATAGAGGTTGGTTATTATATAATCATTGACATTTGTGCAACCAATACAATCCAATCTCAACCGTTCATTTTATTTGATTAATATGTGATTTCATAGAAGTTTTGATTGTTTTTTAATATAAAGTATTGATCATAATTAATAAATCATATTCATCTTTCATAAATATTCAAATCATAATAAATGAACTTTCATCATTTCCATAAATATCTCAATTTATTGGGTTGCATTGATTGTATAAATGCGATGGGTTGTATTTGAAACAAACTCTATGATTATATTTATCTGCAGTTAGTTATGCAAATTCAAACATGAAACTTTAATAAGTTGTACTTACGCACAATTTACATATAATCTTGAATTTTAAGTAATATATATAAATAAACAGTATTTCATGTATAAAAAATGGTTTTTAAGAGTTTTTGTCAAATGTTTTATAATATAGTATAGATTTGTCATATAATCAAAAGTAAAAAATCTTTAAACAAAAAGTAACTTGATTCTTATTTTGGGTAAGGTACTTTTAAAACTTTCATTTTGATATCTAAAACATAAAGTTTTAAACATTTAAGTATCCGGATAATCGGTTGAAAACTAATTTTAATTAAAAAAATTCATGTCACTAACTACATCGGCAAATAATATTGAGTTGGATACCACATCACTAGTCACATCAACATGATAACCTATTAATGCTTCAACCGTTTACTTAGCTACTTAAATGTTTAAAATTTTACATCTTAGGTAGCAAAATGAAAGTTTTAAAAGTATTTTACCCAAAATACGAATCAAGTTAAATTACGTTACTTTTTCATTCAATTTGCCATAAATAAAATGCTTTAAAGAGTTTGGTATTTGTTATGTTATTAAAATATTCTATAAATTTATTATTTCAATGCTTTTTTAAAAAAGAATTTATATAAAATGATAATAAATCTGAGGCCGTTTATTTATCGGTTCAATTACCTTACTGGATGAACGTAATAAGAACCGAAAATTTTATCCAGTAAAATGGAAAACAATTATCAAAAGTCTTATCTGGTAAATAAAAGTGATGATTTTTATCATATAAGTGTTTATCAGGTTAAAAACACACACATCAATATGTTATTATTAAAGATCACTGATAGTTATAGCCACGTAATAACTTTTTCTTAAATATTACTTCAAAATTCGATATCTACAAAAAAAAAAAAAATTAGAGTAAACTACAAATTTGTTACAAAATTATCTTCGTAGTTTGTAAAACATTTGAATTTAATCCCTCCCTTTAACTGTCATTAAAAAAATCCGTTAAATAAAAGACATGTTCGTCATTTGTTGTCTTTTAGGTTTTACCCGATCAAAATCAATTTTATGATTTTGACCCTGTGGTTTTTTATTGAGTAAATGACAGAAAAATCAATAAAAAACGAAAATGCTCATGATTCAAAAAATTGGTTAATATATACTAGATGAATACTCGCATAATGCAATAAAGTACATCTCTATTGTCAAAGATCTTCCAGCCTAGTGGTAAAGGCTTGGGCATGGCATAGTCATGAACCCGAGTTCGAGCCCTGGGAGGGGAGTGTTGGCGACATTTAAGTAGGGCCATGTTTAGCCTCCAAATTTGCCGGGGATTAGTCGGGCTTTGGCCCAGACACCCTTACAAAAAAAAAAGTACATCTCTATTATAATTTTTAATTTTTAATTCATTCTTTATTTTTGGTTTAATAATAATTAAGTATTTTGTTACAACTCAATGATTATCCTAATTATATTTTAATTTTTTTATATTTAAAAGGAGATGTTTATTCGCAGTTAGTTACACGAACTCAAACATTAAACTTTAATAAGTTGTCAATAACTTGTAATATTAATTTTAAGTAATATGCATCAATAAACAGTACTTCGTGCATAAAAAAAGTTTTTAAGAGTTTTTGTCAAATGTCTTATAATATAGTGTATATATATATATAGGGAAAACACACGTATTTGGTCGTATATGGAATGTCAAATACATAAGTATTTTCAAAAGTGAAGGTTGAATATAACACAAAAAAAAAATTAAACTCCAATTCTTCTTACATAGATCATAATAATCACGTTTTTTTTAAGTATTATAATATTTATATACGGTAAATAAAACAAATAAAATCACACACCTTTCTCATCTTTTGTGATGTTTGAACCTCTGACCTGCTAAAAGGCCAAAAACTCACATACCGCTAGGCTAAAGACCCTTTGGTGAATCACATACTGTTTGCAGAAGAATAAATGGTAAATCTAACCTAAACAACCTATTGAGATATAAAATAATTGTCTCACAAAGATAACTTAAAAACACTCATTAATAACACTTTTGAAATTTATAAAGAAACATACGATTTTCCTCTTGCCGTAACAGGTTGGTTTTGCTTAGGGAAAACATTGCACATATAAAAATCAGTAACAAGACTCATTTTCCCTTTTATAAGAATTCATGCATTTAATGTTGGTCAACATCTGGAGACATTTGTCATCCTTGCATAATTTTTAATCCTTTTCAAAGTATAAACTGATATGACAACCAGGGCCGTCCCAATCTTTTTGGAGGCCCTGTTACATTATTATAAAAAATTTACGTTTTTGACATCCAGAATCATATTTTCTAACCCTATAAGACATATTAGAACTGAAATAAGTAAAATAAAAAAGATGAGGAACAAAATAACCTGAGTGAGGATGATAGTACTACTTCTAGCTATTGATGGTTGGTCCTCCCAAGTCTCAAGTCCCAAAAGATTTTGATTGCACTGCAAGAGATAAACACATGTACATATTAACATATATTAGAAATAAGAAATAATAATTTGAAGTTTGGACAAACACACAGAACAACACTAGGAACCGAATTTGACAGATTACAGATTACACACAGAACAACACTGGAACCATATTCAAACAACTGAACTACTGAACTTCAGTGAACTACACACAGATTACAGAACAACACTTCCAGGGAGACCATTTGTGTATACATATTCAACACACAGAACAACATTAGGAAGGTGAAAATTGAAAAACATATCCTAATTAGCTAATACTGTAATACATAACCTCTCACAAGTCACATATAATGGAAAAAAAAAGAACCGAATTTGACAATTTGTGATACATAATTACAGATAAAGAACTTTGGATATTTATCTCACCTTTAGGATTTAGGAATTAGGTTAAAATCAACCACCTAGGATTTAGGAATTAGGTTAAAATCAACCACCTTTAGAAACCGAATTTGACAATTTGTGTATGCATAATTACCTTTGTTCTAGTTGCCGTTGCATATCTAAAACCGAATGGTCCGAATCATTAGCCATTTTGAAGAATTCAATCGACGATAATCGAGGACGGGACGGATAGAGAGGAGAGGGGAGATCGAGGCGACGAGGGCACGAGGTGATAGTCTGGTCGACTGGTCTGCACCGCTGCCGCTGCACGCCTGGTTCTGGTTCTGGTCCAGCGTGTCCAGGTATGAAATCGACAATCGTCAATCGTGCGGTGTGCGAGTGTGTCGTCGTGAACGCAAGGAAACGGTAGCCGATCATGCCTCGTACGGTGCCCTTGCTGTAAAATTGGGCCAAATGGAACTAATAGACTAATAGTTATATACACGGGCTGTAAAATTTGGGCCCCAAAACATTGGGGGCCCTGTTCTAAAAGGCATATTTAACAGCCCAATGGACGGCCCTGATGACAACACACTGTCCAATGGTCATTTGAGTATGACACGAATAGTGAATAAGGGTAAGGTATTGTCTTGAAAGCAACCACCGTAGTTTTGTTTGCAACATCAACAAGTCTTTCTTCGAAATTTTGAAGTACAACATATGATAATATCGACCAAGATTTAGTTACTGATATGTCATTATGTCAAATCAAGAACAAGGATCCATGGTATTGGATCTTTTCGCACGATCCCCACAAATATAAACCCATGATTATGATATGGTTCATTAAATCCTCTTTTCTCTATTTAATCAACAATTGCCAATGTTAATAAACATGTTCTTACTTACACATAATGGTTGCACATATCTTGTTCAGCTAAGTGATATAGTTTTTGTAACACCCTAAAAAAAGAAAAGATAATTTAAACCGAAAATATTTAACGAGAACCAGAAACTTGAATTAAAATTCACCCAACAAAAAGTAATAGTATAGCGTTTACAGTTCAGCTATTGAGAAGATAAATAACAACCTACTAATCTAGATTATTCTATATCTAGTTTAAAGACGGGTGTTTTTATCAATCTCTAAAAAATATCGAACATCTAAATGCAACGCTCAAAAGTAACAAAGGCTATAACTACGAAAGAGCCTTTCACGAACCAACGCTCCTCTCAACCCTTTTTAGCCCCGCCGCTAAAGAAACCTGATATACAAGTCATATCAAGAAGAAGTGTTAGTCTTACACCTAGTGAGTTCAATCAATGAAATAATGGTAACTATAAAACCTTTTAAATATGGATATATATATATATATATATATATTTATATATATACAGATTGACGTAAATTCAAACGATGTAAGAAAGCAATTAATCGGAAATATCACGCGGAGGAGCCAAAACATCTGAGGATGACGAGGGAGACCCGATTTACCGTTGGTTATGACGGACACAAAGTAAGTCATAAATCGACGTTATAGAGCATCACTTATAGGTTTAATACCATCGACATCAACCTAAACCAGTCATGTAGTCGGTCGTGATCCTAAACTCTTTATCTCGGAAATTACATAATAATCGCAATGCCTATTTTCGAGTGGGGTGAGAAGGAGAATTGTAAATTACATAATAATCACAATGCCTAAATCCAACTTACATCATTCTTCACACGATTAAACAAAACGACTTTCATGCCCATAATCCATTACCTCTTAATGTCATGTTCAAAAGCTATAACTTAAGCATAAAGGCACGTATTCACGATAAGATCTTTATATGAGTCCTTAATCGAATAAAATACCCTTCTTTACTAGAAAGGTATACCATATGTAACTAAAAGGGGTTTTCTCTTTAGCTTTATGACCAAGAGAAAATACAGTGAGGATATGGATCCCATTTATTGAATAAAGTCCCTTCTTAACTCATCCAAGTATAATTAATGAAATTCCCAAGTTTATGCACTTTTCACCTAAAACGTTCTCTTCATTTAAGCGAGTAAATTCTATAAATTTTAGGGCATATAATAAATAAAACACACCAACAGAAATAGTATGAGTTCTCATAAAAGGGAGTGGGATGAACTCACTTGTAGGATTTAGGATAAATCCTAATTTCTCGGGATTAATCCGATAGACGCAAGGTAGGCGAAGAAAAACGGACAACAGCGACTGTTGTTGCTGTTTGATGTATGATGTCCGCTAAAGCACGACCGCACCTGCTGATTGATGATCGGGCAAAGGACGCAAAAAAACAGCACAACAAGGGTGCTGTTTGCTGTCTGCCGAWTGGGTACGAGATGCAGCCAAGGAAAAACAGCATAGCAGTGGTGCTGTTTGCTGTGAGCGAGATGGCACGGCAGCGACTGCTGCTGCCTAAAGCGGTCCTAAAACACGCAAGCGACGGGGAAAGAATTAAGGGTACGCGGTTGGAGGGTCGAGCAGAACGAAAACAACAAAACAGCACCCGCTGCTCACGTGAGGCTTGCGAAGGAATAGGCCAATAACGCCTGCTGTTTTGCGCGAAGTAGCTCGGTAACAGTTCAGCCGAGGCTGCTGTTTGCTCGACGTAGTGGCAAAAGACAGATCAACAGCCGTGGCTGTTTTGGCGAAGCAGTCCAGTAACAGCATCGTTGTGGTTGTTGTTGCTGCATGAAGAAAACTGCAAGGAAAGCAAAACATTAGCCATACCACCTGTTGTTGTTGCTGTTTCAGAAGGGTGAAGAACGAAGGATGCAAGGCGGTAGCTACATTGTTTGCTGCTGCTGCTATTTCCGAAGGGTGAAGAATGGCAGCGTCTTCTGCTTCCAGATACCGACTAAAACGCAAAGAGGTCGGGGGTGTTAAAAGATTGGGGCTGGAGGCACGGAGATGGCGTGGCTGGCATGAAGGTAGGCCTAATTGACAGTGGTTGCAACTCTCGGATGAGGATCGGCACTCCGGTGGTTTCCACAGCTGGGGCCTTGCCTTAAGTCCAAGAGAAGGAGACTGATCTCGTTTTTCTATATCTCCCTCCCATCCTCCCCCCCCCCCCAAAGACTTATCCCTTTAAAAAAAAACAAACCAGATGTTAAGGACCACCATGGAAGGGAAAGGACCTCTAAGGAAAAGATGATTTCCATAGTACAAGGAGGATAGGACAACCCAAAAGGTGGCATGTACCCCCCCTTCCTCTACTCTACTGTAATTAAAAAAAAGAACTTACCTAAAAGTTAATCTATAAAAAAAATACTTATATAATATATATGTAGAAATACTAATAAAGAATAATTTAAAGGAATTAGAGTGACTAAAGCTCTAAATACGTGGGTGAAAACACGTACCTCAGTAACGGGACGAAAACCCTTGATGCGCACGAAGTAGGAAAAATGGAAAGATTTTCGGGTGTTACAATTTTTGACCCAACAGTTCAACAACTCACAACGGAATTATATGTTTCAATACCCATCATTGAAAACTTATTGTTTTAATAACCTAAACTACAAAGACCCATAACTGTACGAGGATCAGAAGTAACCACAATAACTGGTTCAATGGAAAACAAAAACTTCAAGCATCACAAGCTTGTATTTCTCACATCTAAACCACAATGGTGGTGCATGATTGGTTTGAGCTTGACTCCAAAGGTCAAAAGTATCAGGAGGTTCCAGGTTCAAATCCAAGGAGAAATAAAAAATCCCTTGTGGCCACGGAGGTTCAAATGCGATGACTCCGGGCTATCTGCAAAGCAGGTGGTCGCCCTAGGATTAGTCGGCTCACATAGCGGGTTGGATATTCAGGTTAATCAAAAAAAGAAAAGAAAAGATAGGAACCTTCCACATGGATTAAATTACAAGGGAGCTTAACCGCTTAAGCATATGCGTGTTGCACATGGAAAAACGAGCATAGAAAACAATTTAATAACCATCCAAATTTGCCATCCTTGCACGTTAAATCACTAGAAACGAATCTAGTTGCATATAAATAACATTACAATTATATAAACATACAATATCAGTTGGACAGTCACTCGCGTCACTGTAACGATGATATAACAGTTAACGACCATAAGAGAAGCATAATTCACCGACACAATAATACTGTTTTTATCTGCCTCCAACGTGTAGCACTATTGGTTAAGAGGTGATGTGACTTTGTCCAAATAAAATACATGTCTTGAATTCGATCCCAAAATCCCCTCAGATTGGTGTCCATAAAGAAAGGTTTCGGACCATCGAACCAAGATGGTCCCATGGAACCGATTTATTGATTGTTGGAAACCAAGCCTTCATGTTCGAACTTTTGACCTCACCGTCCTCTATATATAAACCACTTGTACTCTAATCGTTATCCAACAAATCTTGGTTTCCCCCTTCCCCTAATTCTTGATCACAAACCCTAGGATATATCGGTCGAGGGTTTCTTTCACTCATGGTTCTTAATTATTCTCCTCCAACGTATTCGTTGTATTTCGCCTCTTCTGGCTCGTTTTAGGGTTTAGAAATCAATTTTGATTCACAAGTTTTCAACATTTTTTGGTGTATTTCGTTTCGTCGTTTCTGGTTTCGTAGTGGAAGAGTTGAAGCATGGAAAGATTGGGAGGTGGAGGTGATACTCAACAACTCGTTGATCCTCGAGATCATAATCAACAACTTGGTTCGAATTCAGCAGGTTTTTTTTTTCAACGCTTCTAGTTCGATCTCCTCAGATTTCTTGTATGGTTTTTAGACTGCATTGACGTTGTATAGATCTTGTATGCATCTATTTGATTTTGAAGTATTTATTGCTTTTCTGTTCTACGTGTTTAGATTTTGTTAAATTGTTTATCTTTATCCCCTTTTGTGCTATGGAAACGAGGAGTTTCCAATGACCATATCGAGAGAATAGATGGGTTGCTGGTTGTATGTGATTGAGTTAGATTCATTTACAGCATTCGCTGCCATGGATGGCCTAGAGTTGAAATTGTTGGTTTTTGAACCTGCCTAACTTCCATAACTCCCACAATGATATGGACCTGGCTTGTGGTTTTTAATTTCTGTTACATACTTACAAAATAGCAAATTTTACTAGCATTAAGAGCTTTCACCTTGATCAAATGTTTTATCTTTCAGTTTTATCCCAATCTGGATGTGTAGACTTTTCATGCTAAATGTGCAGCACTATTGAACTTGAACTCATGGATCTTACTATGCAGGTGGTACTGTATTTGATGCATCGCAGTATGCATTCTTTGGAAATGAAGTTCTTGAAGAAGTTGAGTTGGGAGGTCTGGAAGATGAAGAGGAAGACCTTCCAGCTGCCAAATTTGAGGATGAAGAGTACCAATTGGAGCAAGATGAGGTATTCATTTTGCTGATAAGTTTATTATTTTATGCCTGTGTCTCAGTTTTCTTCATTTGGTGTGTTGTCTTAACCTGGTGATGTTCAAAATTAACTAGTTGATTACAACTTGATTGTTGATATTGGATAGATGCAAATTATGCTATATTCCCACAAGCAGAACATGGAATATCGTGTCTGGTACTTCTATGCTCCTTTTTATGATTTATTCCATGGCGGGGAAGGCCTTTCACCTTCCGATTCCAATTCTTAGGTCATACCGGCATGTTGCTAGAAAATACTTGCATGATATCAAGGACACTAGATCATTATGTGGTGTTTCACAGAAGCATGTACGTGAAGAAAAATGATTATGATGATTGATTATTTTGTTTGGTGTTTCACTGAAAACTCTATTTACCTGATGGTGGACATGGAGATGCTCATCCTTTTTAGTCTTCATATTCAGAATGGCCGTAGTTTTTGCAATAGCATCATTGCTGAGTTAAATCAGTTGACCACACCAAAAAGTAGTTTTTATACTTCCACTCAAGTCCAAAAGACCAAAACAATTTATAACCATTTTCTCTGTGAGAATCAGATGACATTTCCGTATTGAGCTGTTTCTACTTCAATCACCATCCTTCCAAATACCAATGCTGCACATATGATGTCTGTCTTTGTGCACTTTTTCTTACTTAAATCGTTTTTCTGTAGCCATATAAATAGAAGTACATGTCTTAAAAGTAAGAACAGTTATGCTCTATCCATTAATTTGACCAAGTTGTCAGCCTCTCTCTGCTCGATATGTGCCAATCTTTGTAGGAGAAATATGTACATTGCATGAGGAAGGCACAGTTGCCAGCTTTGCTGTTCTGTGGCTAATGAGGAAGTCCATTAGGAAATTTATCATGCTGTCTATCTCTGTTGGTATTTGTAATTATTTTGGATTGTTGCCATGCTTTCTGTATTCGTTGCTCAGTTTAGGTCAGTTTTCAACTAAATTTTTATAATTAAGATAGAAATTTGTTACTAACAACAAGTCACTCTTTTGGATAGACTCTGACAACAAGTCACTCTTTTGGGTACATGCATCATCTCAAATCCATGGCAGTTGATAGAATCTAACAAGTGACACTTTTGGATGATTATTAAATATGTAAATGACATTCACAGTTCATAGAATTTAATGCAACATACATGCAAAATATTCTTTGTATTTTTTTATGATCCATCCGCTTCATTGGAATCAAATTTTGTTCTTTATGTGTAATTGACTATGATGGTCAATGAAACAATGGTGCAGAGTTCTCATTGATACAATTATCAGTTGCTTCGCACTTATTTTCAGTTGTTTGGTATTTCTGATGCTCATAACTGAGCAATTCTTTCAAGGTTTAGAGAGTCGGTAACTGCCCCTTAAGTCAACCTGTTAATTACATACATGGATGCTGCACTGGATTAATTTAGAATGCATTTTTCAGTATTTATGTGGCATAATTTGTTGTGGTATGTCTTCCTTTTTCTCTTCTTTTCAAGCATGCTATAATGCAACTTTTGTTTTGCTTATTTTATGTAATTCTCATATGCGGATATTGGGAATGTGAATTTGACAAATGATAGTGTTTTATGTTGCAGGGTGTGTTTCCAGGAATCGATGATCTTGCCACCACATTTTCAAAGGTTAGCTTCATTGAAAGCTGAAATGATAATTATTATCATGAACTATGCCATATTAATCAAGTATTGAGATCAAGTGATATCTTTATCTTTTCTGCATATTCATTAATCGTGGTTCATGGGGGAGGAGCATTTGGGGAATTAAATTTTCATAGGTAGAAGTTTGCTACTGCCTAATGTTTGACCGTATTGGATGCAAGGTCCTTTATCTTTTAATCTGATGCCAGTACTTGTCTAGAATTTTTAGTATTTCGATTCTGATGCAGGACAATGGTTTTTACTGTGATTTAACAATTCACATTGTTGATTGTAGCATACATTTTTCTTATAGCATTTCTACCAGCATACGTGGCTTTGGATGTATCTAATTGTTTTTCTTCCTTGAGCACCATATCACAAATTTCTAGTGCGATGGTTGCATTGGCATCTAGGGTATTCTGCAGATCATGTCCATAGAAGAAGCTGTAGAAAGAATTAATCTCAGGTGTAGGTTGAAATTGTCTTTTTGATGTGAATGCCTGCCTGATAAGTAATAATGTTACTGATGATTACCAACCATGGTCATGAGCTGTGCCAATTGTGTTGTCACATATGCTTTTAAGTTTATTTCAATTGGTTTCGGTCTGATTTCGTTTAATTGCTTAGTTGTCCAATCTGTGCAATGTGATGGCGATTGTCTTTAGAAAGAATAACCTTTAGGTTAGCTTTGAAGTTGTCATTATTATGTGAATGCTGATATTACTAGTCATGGTCACAAGGTGTATCAATTGTGTTGTTGTCACATATGCTTTTAAGTTACATCACTGAGTTGATTTTGGTCTGATTTAGTTTAGTTGCTTTCTTGTCCAATCTGTGCAATGTGATGGCGACTGTATTTTGGTTAATTGCTTAGTTCTTGCTCAATATTTTTGGGCACAGTAGGCTAGCTACAGACATGAGATAATAACTTTCCTCAGCCCCCCCTTCCATCTTGATGACTCAAGTTTTTCTTATGTTTTATCCTCTATCAGCATGCAATCATATGATCACTCTTCACTCTTCATGTTTCCTCAAAATGTATTCTACCGTTTTTCTTTCAAATACCAATTTATGTCTTTTTTCTATCTTCATTCTCCCTCCACTCTTTCAGTCTTTCTTTCACTAAACATTGATCTAGTTTCTTTTTCAATTGAAGTTTAACATACAAATCTTTCCCATGAATTTGCAACATTTGATGGAACATAGTTTTTGGAACTATTTGTTTACTTGTCAAATACCTACAATATCCGTCAATGTCTAATGGACGAACGCCAATATTTCTCGTGTTTGCAATGATGATGATAGGCAAATTGGTAACTAAAACTTAAGTTTTCCAAAATAGATGCTTTGCAATGTTCACGGGATGGAGGGAGCAAACTCTATTGGTTTTTCTATCCACCATGTTCTATTTTACTATTTTTATGTAACTTAATATATTTATGGACCTTCCTTAAAATGTAAGAAGTAAAAAATTATGATTTGACAGTTAAAGAGTCAAATGTGGGCTATTTTTTGCATCTGGTATGGATTCTCCTTGAGTCCTGAGGTGGAGACATCATACGCAATTGCAGTTGATGTTGTGACTTCATTCAAAGTGGTCGAGTTTATTATCTAGGGCTGGCGAGTAGAACTGTGTAATTTACTCCACTAAATGACAATTTTATCCTAAGAATAAAGAGATTACTGAGTTTCTCCATCTCATAATTAAGGGTAGAATAGGTAAGTAGTCACTTGCTCTTGAAGGTGGATACTTATTCTCGGACTTTAGAAGTAATTATAAGCTATATTTGACAAACCATGCCCAGGGTAAGGTAGAAAGTTCCAGCCAGAAAGTTAATAAGCCAATTGTACGTTGTGTTTTAAGCCAGTGTTCAAAAAATCATTGCTTAGAGCCAATTAATCATCTGCCTAGGCTTTAAGTGTCTGCTTAACGATTTGGTTCGTTAGGGCTGCTTAATCAGGCACCTATGCTTAAGTATCCCCACTACTTTGACTAGCAACCAATTGTTGAACATAGTGTTCCATACTCCAAAGTATATCAAGTCAGTTAATCAACTTTTCACAATTAGAAGGTAATATTTCCAAATCTGTATGGGTAACCCAAGATTGGGTCTCTCTACCTGGTGTTCTACTTGTATCTTTTGGGGGGGGGTATCACGTTTGGCAATATCACTAAAGAAAATAACTTATTAGATACCGCTAATTTTGGGATTGGGCACAATATGAAAGATCTTTTGTAAATGGAAGAATGTAACTGGTCATGTGGAGAAGTAATTGTGCTTTGTGCCAAAATAATGTAGTATATATATGTACTCATAGTTATATTTTATATAATGAACTGCTTTTTCTTCCGCTTAATCCTCCCTTAGACAATTTAAGGCTATAGAGGGTCGCTCGATCGCCTAAATCCATTCAAACCTTATTATGGGAAGGTAGAAGCAGCCCCATAAGAGATTATGGAACTTTCGCTTAACGTTGATTAATTGATCAATAAGTTAGAATAATTGGAAAATTAGATGTGTAGCATGCTATTTTTGTTTGTTTCTCTTGTCATTTGATATTTGGTTTTTCGTCCTATTTATGTAGCTCAACAAAGATGTCATGGGGACAAGTGTTGGAGTTTTTGGTGACCAAGGATCAAGAGAAAGTTAGTACACCTGTTCTTGTTGATTAAAATAGTTTTCTTTTGAGATTGGATTCAATCATGGGTTTCTCGTGTGTGTATGTATATACAGGGCTAATCATGTGAGAACCATAAAAAAAGTTGAGAACCCGTGAGAACCATTCTTAACGTATTGTTCATCAAAGGCCCAATCTTAACGTATTGTTTCACATTGTGAAACAAACTATACATCTCAAAAAATGATGAAAACTTTCACATTGTACCTTAAATCTTAGCCTTAGATAAAACAAATTCATGTGAAACAAGTAATTAAGATTGGTTCTCACGAGTTCTCAACCTTTTTGTGGTTCTCATTTGCCTTTACACTCACATGTGTAGGGTCAGGTTCAGGGAAAAACCGCAAAAAAATGAAAAACTGAGGAACACCCTGGTAACTATTTATCTGGACGGTATGCACATGCATATAAGTAACTTGTAAGCAATTTGTCCGGTATGCACATGTGCTTAACATGGACACGTGCATAAAAACCAAGAAACAACTCCAATAACTTGTACGTACATGTGCATACCGTACCAGATGACTGGTTACCAGTGTGTTCCTCACTTTTTCAGTTTTTGTGGGGGTTTACCATGAACTTCCCCCTCTCTCTCTCTCTCTCTCTATATATATATATATATATATAAATATAGTTGTCATGTATTAACATGAGGGCTTGTTATTTTTTGTGTTGTTTTTCTTCCAGATTCATCTGCAGCTGAATGGGCACAGGGAGGAGAATACACCAACTGGTTCGATCAGGATATTTTTGATGCAGAAAGTGCTCAGGATAGCAATAGATGGTCAAATCCTTCATTTCCTCTTCAAGATGCATCAATGCTTATTCATAGAACATCTTCCTACCCTGAGAAACATCAACAACAGAATCTTAACCAGCAGCTGAATGATGAATCAAAGCTATACCTTCACAGAACATCATCTTATCCCGAGCAGCATCAACAACAGAACCTTAACCAGCGCCTGCTAGATGAATCAAAGCATCTCCACAGAACATCATCTTACCCTGAGCAGCAGCAACCGCACCACCTTAGTCAGCATTTGCATTTCTCTAGTGAGCCGGTTCCGGTTCCCAAATCTTCTTTCGTTTCATACCCTCCACCTGGCGGTCCAGGTGGGTCTCCTCAACCTCCAGCAAGCCATCAATTACATCATCTTAATGCTCAGTTTCATGGCAGTGGCCACCAGATGCCGCCATCTTTCTCCAATATATCTCCATTGTCAAATCCGCAGCTTCAGATGGGTGGGATGCCTCATGGATCGCAATTCGGTGGGAATCTTCCCCAGTTTCGTCCTCTTGCTCCATCTGTTAATAACCGGATGCCTAACCAGTGGACGGGTCAGAATAGTTTATATCCAGGAGACCAACCTGATCTTTCAAATGGTATGTTGCAACAACAGCTTGCTCATAAGAACGGTTTGCTGCCACCACAGCAACATCGGTTGCATCACCAATTTCAGCCATCTTTTGGCCATTTATCTGGGTTGCAGCCCCAATTGCCCCAACTAATGAATCACCATCTCTCTCCATCCCCACCACTGATGAACAATTTTGAAGTTTTTGGGATGGCTGGTCCAAGGGATCCAAGGCCTAAACCAATGCCCAAAGGTAGACCAGGTCAGAGATATCCCCAATCGGGGTTTGACACCAGTGGATGGCCACAGTTCAAATCAAAGTACATGACGGCTGATGAGATCGAAAATATTCTCAGAATGCAGCTTGCTGCTACACACAGTAACGATCCTTATGTCGATGATTACTATCACCAAGCTTGCCTGGCTAACAAATCTAGCGGTGCGAAGTTGAGACACCATTTCTGCCCAACCCAGTTGAGGGATTGTCCTCCCAGAGCTCGTGCTGCTAACGAGCCACATGCTTTTCTTCAGGTTGATGCTTTGGGAAGGGTTTCTTTTTCTTCGATACGTCGACCTCGCCCACTTCTTGAGGTCGATCCTCCAAAGTCGTCTGCTAGCGGCAACACTGATCAGAAAATGTTGGATAAACCATTGGAACAAGAGCCCATGCTTGCAGCTAGAGTCACCATTGAGGACGGCATTTGTCTTCTTCTGGATGTCGATGATATTGATCGCTTTCTTCAGTTCAATCAGCTCCAAGATGGTGGAGCCCAATTACGTCAAAGGCGACAAGTTTTACTCGAAGGATTAGCAACATCGCTTCAGCTTGTTGATCTGCTAGGCAAAAATGGTCAAACAGTAGAGTTGACTCCCAAAGATGATCTTGTTTTCTTACGGTTAGTTTCTCTCCCAAAGGGTCGAAAACTTCTCTCAAGGTACCTCCAACATCTCTCCCCTGGAAGTGAGCTAACCCGCATAGTTTGCATGGCGGTTTTTCGCCATTTAAGATTCTTGTTCGGAGGTCTTTCCTCAGATCCTGGAGCAGCAGCAACCGCTAACAATCTTGCAACGAATGTTTCATCTTCTATTCGTGGGATGGAACTTCGAGCTCTTGCCGCCTGTCTAGCATCCGTTGTTTGTTCCACGGAGCATCCTCCACTTCGTCCTGTTGGAAGTCCTGCAGGCGATGGGGCTTCTGTTGTTATAAAATCCGTACTAGAAAGAGGAACCGAACTCTTAACAGACCCACACGCCGTCAGTAACTGCAGCATGCCTAATCGGGCGTTTTGGCAGGCCTCTTTTGATGCTTTTTTTGGACTTCTGACCAAATACTGTTTTAGTAAATATGATACTGTTGTCCAATCGTTGCTGACACAGGGAGGCGGTCCAACCGATATGGCTGTTATTGGGTCGGATGCTGCAAAAGCCATTAGCCGGGAAATGCCCGTTGAACTCTTGCGTGCTAGCCTTCCTCATACGAATGAAAACCAGAGGAAACTGCTTCTGGATTTTGCTCAACGATCGATGCCTGTGCTCGGAATGAATAGCAGTGGGGCAGGAAACGGTGGCACTTGAATGGTAATCATGACAGATGGTATTATTCACCGATGAATAAGAGAAAAGCTAATATAAACCCTGAGATATATGTTGTGGGTGATATAAAGCATGGTTGGAAAGGAAAGCAGAAAGGAAGGAGAGAATGTGCAGATGATGATAGAAGTAAGTTTGCTTCTTTCTTTTACAATCTTTAAATGTTTACTTATTGTGTTTTGTTATGAAACTTAGTTGTGTACTGTTTTGTGTTTTTTTTTTGTGGGTGGGTTGAAATAGGAGCTTATTTTGTTGCTCTGGTGGAATGGTCACTCTCCCTGGTAGTAATGAGGATTTAGAAAGTTAGAAGAAATGTGTATAGGGTTTGAGTTCCTTCACCATTGATATTCAAGGAGATGGGAAGGAAAGGACTACTACCTGGATTGATCACAAATGAATCCTCTTTTTGTTTTTTGTTCATTTCTAACTCTGATATTGGTCGGAGAAAGTTCATAACTTGTTTAATTTTTAATCGTGGGTCTCTGCTCATCTTTCTGTTTTCATTTTGTGCTTGTGTCCGTCATTGAATCAATCACAAATAGGGGGTCTTCACTGAAAATTTTATCGACTCTTTTGAGTAGAGATTAGAGGTTAGGCTGCGTTCATCTTACCCCTTCCAAATCCCACCTCCGGATGGGACATACTGGGTTCGTTTGGTTTGGTTTAGAGTCTTGTGCTAAATATACATTTTATGGGTTTGTATCATGCTACACAAGGTTTAGATCATGGGATGGAGATTTAGGGGATGTTTGGTTGGTTTTCCATCAAGTCCTATATGGATAAAGTTGGCCATGTGGATTAATATGTCTATATAGATTGAGGAAGTTTTTGTTTGGGAGGTTTTTTATACATGGAAGTAGCGTGTTTTTTAATTGGGAGGGACAGGTTTGGAAAAAACTTGGATTTCTGCAAAAAGTTTTCCCCTTGAAGCTTATTGAACAAGACTTCCTATGCCATTAAGCCACTGTCAAATAGTCATGTATAGCCGACCGAATAAGCTCCAAGTGTTTTGTTAGCAACTTAATGAGCTTAATGGGACAACTTGTTTGGTAATGGCTTGATGATATAGAAAGTGACTTATTTAGTAAGCTTCTAGGGGAGTTTTATGCAGAAAGCCAAGTTTTTTCCAATATTGTTTGTGTAGGTTAATCTGTTTGTATTGATTGGGAACGTTTTTGTTTGGGAGAGCTTTTTCATGGGTAGAAGAAGCATGACTTAATGGAAAACCAACCAAACAGAGGCAGTTTGGTGTAGAGATTGGTGTTTGGGGACATGACTCGTTGGCAGTTGCAGCATGAACATTTTGGGTATGGTGCAAGACACGTGGTCCATAAACAGGTCTACCAGTTCCAGTTTTATGACGAACTGAAACCGGTTAACACTAGGCTAATTCCACATTTTTTATGGACCAAGGTTCTTGCACCGGACCCAGGATTTTTCATGCCTTAAATCTATGGTCTTTCCAGGGGTTAACTGGTTCTAGTTAAAACTGGAACCACTTTGTTTATGAACCAATAATCTGCACCATATCCAAGATTTTCATGCTGTCATCTATGGTCCACTTGGTTCTATGACTGCTGGCATAGAACCAGAACAGGTTAGCACTGGGCTAATTGGTAATGGTTCTAACCGGAACCACACTGGACCAAGGGTCTTACACCTTACCCAAGATCTTGATGCTGTAATGGTGTAACCTATGGTCCTTTTAGTTCTATGAAAAAGACATGTCATAGAACTGGGCTAACCGGTTCCAGAGTTTATGGACCAAGGGTTTTACCCTGTACCAAGATTTTCGTGTTGTAACCTATGGTCAAGGAACCTGGTGACTAAGGCAAGGCCTGATATAAGTTTTGTAGAGATTGAACTAAAGGTCAAAAAAGGTCGATCCCTTTTGTTATCTTAACATGAGGTTATGGTATATGGTAACACCATGTTCTTTTAAATCAAGGCCTTGTATGTGGGAAAGGGTGCTTCTGGAACTTCAATTTTACAATAGATACTGATAAAAGTAGACAGACTTGTAGAAGTAGGGGGTGTGAATGAGCTGGATCGAGTGGTAGTTTGTTCGAGCTTGGTTAGAAAAATCGAGCTCAATTTGAGCTTGAACAACTTTCTCAAAGTAGGGCTCGAGCTCGAACTCGAGATCTATTAACTTCTTTGTGGGATCGGCTGATGATATTTTTTATATTTTGGATGTATGATTTATGAACATAAAAGTTTGCTGAATGGTTATGGGTTGTTTGTTTACCTTTTAATAGTTTCATTAAGTGATAGTATCTGAATCTTGTTTGGCAAAAAAAAGTCCGTCTCTTAATGGTTCTAAAACCCTATATGATTTTGTATCATGGGTCTCCCTTAACTATTCAATGCTCTGATTTCATTGTGAACAATTACCAAACAATTATATCTTATTTTGTATTACATCATGAGAGTCTCTTAATCATTCTGCATCAAGCCATTCAGCAACTGCCAAAAAGCCTCTAAACTCGGCTTGACTTGAAAACTTGGGGACCGTTTACCCAACTACTTACCCGGTAAGCGCTTACTGGTAGGAGTCAACACTATATTTTGTTTTACCAAATAAGATTATAGTATATTAAAACGGTATCGCATGCAACAATTTATCCGGTAAACGCTTACTCGGGTAAGAGTCCTCAATATCACTTATCGGGTAAGACTATCCGTATCATCGTTCTTACCGGGTAAGATTTTTGGTCCTTGCCATGTGCATCAGGTGAGGAAAGTTACATGATCAACACTTTTCGGGTAAGTGTTTAGTAAACGGCCCCTTACTCGAGTTTTCGAATGAGTTGAAAATTGGTATTACGAAGCTCGAGGATGAATTTTATTTTGTCCGTTATTTGAAGGGGAAAATATTTAGACGTTTGGGGATGTGTTTGAAAATGTATTTTGCAAAGTGACTTTTAATTTAATTTTTTTTGTCTATAAAGATTTTGTTATAATTAATGTCAAATTAAATTCAAGCACTGATAAATTATGCCCAAAAGTATTACATGTTACTATTTAGTTATAAAATATACATTTATTGATGAAGTAATTATTTGTTATTTCAGAAATAAAACTTTTCAATATAATTAAAAATCAAATGCCATCAATCAGAAGTTCATATACATACTTCAAGTAGGTCTGTTTATCGATTGACATTTATTAAACGTGAGTGAATTGAATTGATTCAATTATTCATTGGTTGTTGGATTTTGTCAACAGATCTGATCCGATTAACATTGGATTGGATTTATCGGTTGGTTCCATCCATTGAATACTTTTATTGGATATCCACTGCTGGATCCGTTGGGATTGGATCCATCCAGCGTGTTAATTCAATCTAATTCCCTAACAATGATACAAATTGATTAGTAACTTTTAATATGTGTTAAAACCAACACAACGAAAGTTAAAAATTCTAAGGTTCACATGAAACAAATTCCGATTTAATTAATTTGAAAATAAATTAATGGACAGATAGTTAGATAATAGTTGGATGGATAACTGTATGGTCATAGGATTATTATATAGATATTGATCGGTTCGGTTTTGGTTAGTTCTGGACTGCCATCCGAAAACCCACCGATCCAAATTGGAAGTTCAAATTTTCAATGCGATCAAATTATAATCAATCGGTTCTAATTGGATCAGTTGATTCCAATTGGATCAATTGATTTTCTGCACACCTCTATATTTTGCAGATTGCAAAACTAATATTTACAAATCTTGGCCATTTTAGATCAAATATGAAAAAGATTGACGGAAAAATGAAAAATGCTTACTAGTTGGGTTTATTTCCATTGAAGCCACAAGCCTGCAAACTCCTTTCTGGGTTTTGTTTTGTATTTTTCAATATTAAATTTCATTATTTCCCATAAATAAATAATTTAATTTTACATAAATCAAATTTCAAAAACATCATTTCAAAAGTATAAGAGGGTTTGGAAAAACATCGTGATTTGGCCCTTTCCTCTTTAAGGGCCATTAATAAATACTGTTAAATGTTGTTTTCTCGTCTACCTATTTTGTCTTTTACCGGATCAAAATTGATTGTACGGTTTAAAAGTTGTTTGTTTACCTCTGAACCATTGTACACAAAAAAATCTACCATTCAATGGTTCTAAAATTCACTGAATGATTTTGTATCTTGAACTCCTCATAGTCTTTCAAGATCCTGATTTCATTATAAACATTTACTATATTAAAAGATAAATCTTGTTCGATAAAAAAAATACCACTTAATGGTTCTAAAACTCACTGACCTTAGCTTTTATGGGTCCTAATTTTCTAATTTCATTATAAACATTTATCAAACAATTATATTTCATTTTACGAGCCCTGCCAAACAGCTTAACGAGTGGGTGATTGGCAAAAAGGAAATAAAAAATGTTTAGATTAGCTTAGGACGGTACTAAACTGGATAAACTGATAAAATAGATGTAAAATCATTTTTTTCCATTCAAATACTGAAAACTTTTTTTCCATACTGATAACTTTTTTTCCATCCAAATACTGAAAACTTCTTACTACCGGTACCATACCAAAATAAGTTAGAAGGAAATAACTTATCAAAAACTCCTTTTGACTTGTTCCAAACCGGTAATAAGTATTTCTTTTTCTTTTCCCATCTAAACGCTAAAACTACTTAGCATCAGTATCACACCGAAATAAATTAATAACCACTTTGAATAAGCAATCCAAAACACCTCCGCTCTTAACAACGCCCCCCCCCCCCCCCCTTTTTTAACCCTCCGTGGACCCTTTGCTCTCCCCAGCCATTTCGGGTTAAGAAGATGTCAAAGCGGAATTATTCGTAATAAGATATTGGCTACAATTGAACCACTATTCGAAATCTTAATGAAACACTGGATTTGTTATTCTCATGTCGGCCATTTTATCGATATTTCAAGAGTAAGTGTTACTGTTGACTAAGACTAACCACAGAGACGAAATTTGAAGTTTACTGGTTTCTCATAATAAAATACCATAAACTTGTAAAAAACCATCAAACAAAAACCTAATTCTTAACAAGGAAGTCGATGTAGCCACCGGAGATGCTCTAATCAGTTAGCTGACGGCTGACGACTACCCACCCGAACTTCATCCACTTGATTAGCGTTGGAAACGCCTCCGGCACCGGAGAATAAATCGACAGGCTTCGATTCTGCAATCACACCTTCATTTTGTTGTTGATTTGAGATATTTTGAGCGGCGGAGAAGAGATCGATTGGATCTGGATCGGAATCTGGAATTTTTCCGGCTTCCAACGGTGTGCCGGCTTTGTACGCCACTCTTAGCGATTCGTCTTCTGATAACTTCGCCTGAGCCGTGCCGTACTTGATATCTTCCTTGCTTTTCGCCATTTTTGGATTCTAGATCTGTTCATAATGTCGAAGAATTTGTAGATTGATTGTGGTGTGTCTCATCAAGTTACAGAGACAGGTGTTGCATTTTTGCTAGAATGGATGGACACGTGGCATCTACGTGCCAAGTAATATAAATCATTATATTCGTCCGTTAATATAACTATTATTCTTTTGTTTTTTGAAAAGGAAAATTAAAAAACCAACTTTCACCTGATTTTTATTTTGGGAAATCAATTTTTTTATTGTCATTTTTGAAATAAATTTGCACTTGATTTTTATTTTAGAGAATTAACTTTCAAAATCATTATTTTGAAAAACCAACTTGCACCTGATTCTTATTTTGGAAAACCAATTTGCAAAATAATTATAGAAAAATAACTAAAATCCGTTTTTTTCCAAAAATTAATGCAATAAAATCTATTTTTCATTTCAAATATCTTCTTTTTTAATTCAGATATCAAATTAAACATTTAAAAAAAATCCAATTACCACAATAAAAATTGTTTTTTATTAATGCAAAAAAAAAATCAATTTAATAAAAAAAAATTAATTGATGTAATAAAAAACGATTTTATTGTGTTAATTTGAATTTTTTTTCTTAAATGTTCAATTTGATATTTGAATTAAAAAAACGAGATTTGAAATGAAAAATAGATTTTAATGCATTAATTTTTGGAAAACAATAGATTTTAGTTATTTTTCTATAATTATTTTGCAAGTTGGTTCCCCAATATAGGAATCAGGTGCAAGTTGGTTCCCCAAAATGACGATTTTGAAAGTTGGTTCCCCAAAATAGGAATCAGATGCAAGTTGGTTCCCCAAAATGACGATTTTGAAAGTTGGTTCCCCAAAATGACAATTTTGAAAGTTGGTTCCCTAAAATATGAATTAGGTGAAAGTTGGTTCTATTTTGGTGTAATTTTCCCTTTCTGAAAATCTTATTTATATTAATTTGTTAAACTGTTGCATGAAAAAAGTAACGTATTTTAACTTTATTCTTATTTCGGATAACGTATTTTTAAACTTCGATTTTGATACCTAAGATGTAAAGTTTTAAACATTTAAATACTTGGGTAACTGGTTGAAGCATTAACTGATTATATGTTGATGTGGCGAGTGATGTGATATCCAACTCAATATTATTTACTAACATAATTAGTGACATGATTTTTTTCTAATATACAATTAGTCTTTTTTTTAAATCTAAAATTAGTCTTCAACCGGTTATCCGAGTATTTAAATGTTTAAAATTTTACATCTTAGGTATCAAAATTGAAGTTTTAAAAATACGTTACCCAAAATAAGAATCAAGTAATTTGTAAATCTCGAGTTCGATTTTTTGTTTGTTTGAATTATTAAGGTCGAGCTCGATGCTCATGTATTGACTCGAACTCACAATCGATTAACTCATTTATAGGCTCAAGGTTGATAACTATTATATTTTTATTGTATGATTTATGAACATATGAGCGTGTTCAGCTCGAATGACTCGACTCGACTCAAAAAGAAACAAAAAGTTTAATCGACTTTTGGAACAAGCCAAGTAAAACATTAATGTTATGGAGCTCGACTCGTTAAGTTAAAAACGAGTTTTATTTTGTGTTCGAGGTCGACTTGAGCTCGAGATAAACGAGCTCAAGCTTGAGTAGCTCATTAATCTTGTGTTCTCGAAATCTTTTTATTAGGAAAAGCAAAGAATCAAGAGGGAAAGAGGAGGAAAGTAAAAAATTCATGTTCTCAAAACCCTTTTAGAAGAAAAAAAGGAATCTGAAGGAACATAATCACAAGTTTTCTCCCAAAACTTTCATTAAAGGAGAAAAAGGAAATGAACGAAAATAAATTAAAATCCTAAAGGGTGTTTTTGATGTTCAGATAGAACAGGATAGGGCATAACTGTTCAACGGTAAAACAGAACAAGTGAAACGAACAATTAACCACAATGAATTGTTTATATATTTTGATTAATTCATGAAATTTATGAAATTATGATAAAATAATTATTTTTATCACATAATATAGCTTCAGAAAATTTTCGTCAAAACAATTAAATTAACAACAAAATAAAAGATTTATATAGTTTCTAATTTTTATATTATCTTTTTTCTATATTATTTTTTATTATTAGTATATAATAAATCACAAAAATTAATAAAAATATAAAAATCATATAAAAATAATATATTGAACATAGTAAAATTAAAGTTTAAAAGGTATAAAATTACAATAATTAAAATTTAAAAAATAAATAAAATGTAAAAAAAAACCTATTTGATCTTTAAAAAAAATAGGTTTTATATTGAAATTATGTTGGTAAAATATAAGTCTCTTCCACCTTAATCTATGAGGTAAGATGAACAAGGTAGCACAGTCTTGTTCCACTTTATTCATATATGTTCCACATAAAAGTTTTTTCAGACTTGGAACAAGAATTATTTGTTTTGTTCTGTTATGTCAAGTGTACCAAACACACCGAAGGGTCCGTTTGGTTTTCAAGATTGTTTTTCAAAAATTTGGGTTTCATATAGGAATTCGGATTTAGAGAGATTTGGATTGAAATATATTTGAAATCATTGGTATGTTTGATTTGTAGGATTTGGAATTGGATTTCATTATTTATAAATGCTTTATAAAAAATTATAAAGATAATAAGTTACATTTTTATTAATCGATCATTACAAAACAAATGTTTTTAATATTTTTTACAACCTTATTACATACAATCCTACGAAATCCCAAGCACTCCCAAAGGATTTCAAAATCCTATGTTTGTAGGATTTCAATTAAATCGTAGGATTCCAAATCCGAAAAATCCAACAAATCAAACATGGGATTGGAATGGATTTGAAATCAAAATCTCCCAAAATCCATTCCATTCCTGCAAACTAAACGGAACCTAATTTAATCAGGAGAGAATGGATCATTATACTACATAAACCGAAATACTTTTATTTTCATTCTCATTGATTTCCGCTTAATATTTCTAACCCCTGATGCTAAATTTGATGTCATGATATGGTAGGATATAAAGAAAACATAGAAACTAAAAATATCAGTAAATTAAGCATTGCATGAAGAACATGTGGCGATTCAAAATGATAGTAACAATATAAGAAACTAACTAGACCATATACAGCTTGGACCCAAAGATCAATCAAACTCCATGCCTATGCAAAAGATGATATGCATGAAGAAAGATTGGAAGAAGCCAGCTTACAGTCTAAAGCTAATTTTCTCTACTTGGATCTTTGTCTCATCTTTCGGCGCTTCCTCTTTAGTCTCCTCATTCGCTTCTTCTTCCACTGCAAGTGTATAACATCCAACAATTAGTTGTTATCGATATAGAACAGAATACATCAATGTGAAGCAGTTGATTCAACAATTTATGACACTACTGGATGAATCTACTAGACAGTTACATAAACACCAATCAATGGATCGACAATTGGCTTCTGGATGTTTGTACACAAAACATGTAAAAACTGTACAGAACTGGTGTTGGCTTTCATACTTTTATATTCCCTGTTTTCATCGTCAGCAGATAAAATTGAGTACACAAGACACGAGTACCTGACTATGTAGACGACGAAAATTTCAGGATGTAAGACAATGAACGTACCTAACAGTCAATAATCTACAAGGATCGTTCGATCGACAAGCGTATTGGTGATCTGATTAAGATAATTTTACCTAATTCCTTGTACGATATGCAATTTGAAGAAACAACACCAAATATCAATGCAAACGGCAGTTCGATAAATCAACTCATCCGACGACCGATCAATATTAATGAAGAAATCGACGTTACAAGACGGAATTGATCAACGATTCAACGTAAATAACAGCGTTCATGAAGTAAATAGACATTCCGGAAGACGAAGAAGCAATTTTAAACTATAATTTTACCATAATTCAGATACTACATTCATTCGATTTCACATGATTCCATATCCATTTACACACAAAAAAAGTCATCAGAATCAAAAATCATAAAAGGAAGATCGACGAACATACCTTGGCACGCATCTTGTTTCAAACTTCCTGTGATCTCCCCCGCTTTTCCTCCGATGATCTGTTGGGCGAACGATGTAACGAAGTGTGGACGACTGCAACGACGAGACGTTTAGTATTTATAGCTAGGGCAACCTCGGTTTAACTGGGCCTTGTTATGGGTAAGTTCTCTGTGACTTTATTTATATGGCCCAACTTTTAGGGCATACAATATATTGGGCCAATGGATTAAAGGCCTCAAGCCCAATAAGATAAACTAAAATTACAAAATGGTCATCCAGATTTGATCCCTCCCTCTAACGAACGTTAAAATATTTTGTTAAATGAGGACAAATTTTATTTTATCGATTTTTTTGTCTTTTATTCAATGAAATTTGATTTTATGTTTTCGGTCCCTATGGTTTTTGATTTGATAAAAGAACAAAAATAACTCTTACTTAATAGAATTTTTTAACGACCGTTAAAGGAAGGGGACAAAATTCGGGCCTTTTTACAAACGACGACATAATAAGGGGTTGTTATAATATTTTTCGATTAGTTGTTTGCTTACCTAGGCTAATTCGGTTCCCATGTCGATTTGGCATAACATGATAACTAACATGACAATGTTATTACAATAGTGTGGTGGCGACGATCGTCATGTGGCATGGTATGTATTCGAGTAAATATAATGGTACATGATTGGTTTGAGCTTGAATCCAAATGTCAAAAGTATCAAAAGATCCTAGGTTCAAATACAAGGAGAAATAAAAATCCCATTGTGGCCACGAAGATTCAAATGCGGTGACTTCGGGCTATCTGCAAAACAGGTGGTCGCCTTGGGATTAGTCGGCTCGCATAGCGGGTTGGATATTCAGGTTGATAAAAAAGAATAGCATACTGATGTTTTTCAAAAGATTTGATGAATTGGAATTAGAATTCCTTACTAAAACCCAAAAAGGAAATTCATCATGTGTGGAATCATAATTTTGTATTAGAACTAGTTGAATGAACCAGACACGAGTTGATTAATGAAATTGTCATTCCAATTATTTCAACAGATGTTTGGTTTGTTGGAATTCACGGAATTAGAAATTGACCAAAATTCATTCATGTCGCTACCATCATCGTCGTTATTATTGTCGCCTTATCCCCATCATTACCACCACTAACTTATTAGCACCACCTCATCCATGGTTATCACCACCTCCACCACAATCATCACCACTGCCACGACAGCGACTACTCTTGCTTCCAGTCTAAGACCACTATTATATTTATAAACATTTGGATTTCATTTAATTTCTACCAACTAAACACATGGTCAAATTAGGGATGTGCAAAACCCGAATTACCCGAAATCCGAACCCAAGCCCGAAACTGAAAATAAAGTATATATACTATATTATAAAGCATTTGGCTAAAACTCTTAAAAACTTTTAAAACTCTTAAAAACTTTTAAAACTATTAAAAACTCTTAAAACTATTAAAAACTCTTAAAGACAACCTCTATTGCCAATGGTACAACCTATCAAAGCCATCCCTAAACCCGTTCATCCCTATCCTATTTCTTCGCCAACAGAAACCCAATTCCCTCCCTAAACGATTTCATCCATATCCGATTTCATCGGTTTCAGATTACGGTTGAGATATTCGACTCCAACAGAATTTAGAGATGCGTATATAATTGACATATTTTCAATCCATTAGTGTCAATTCAGAATTAGAGGAGGTAATCTATTTCTTTTTTTCTTTAGCCAACTTCTTTGTTCAAGAACAGATTCAGGAAACCTTAATTCGCACCATTGCAGAGAGATCTCGTGCGGGCACAATTGAGGTATTCGTTCGTAATCGCAACGACTGGAAAAGATTGCATTTGGATGTATCTTGGATTGTTATCGTCGTTTTCGTTGTTATATATGGAAGTTTAGGGTCTGGCGGTATCTATACTATATTATAAAACATTTGACAAAAACTCTTAAAAACCACTTTTTATGCGCAAAGTACTGTTTATTAATACATATTATTTAAAACTCAAGATTGCAAGTAGATTGTGCGTAAGAACAACTTATTAAAGCCCCATATCTGAATTCGTGTAACTAACTGCAGATAAACATAATCAAATATAAGATAAACATCTTATTTTAAATATAAAAAATCTAAAATATAATTAGAATAATTATTGAATTCTAACAAAATATTTAATTATTATCTTTATAAAATTTATAATATTAAACCAAAAATAAATTATATCATTATTAAACTTAAATTAAATCATAATAAAAAAATAAATTAAAAAATTATCTATACTATATTATAAATCATTTGACAAACACTCTTAAAAACCATTTTTTATGCGTAAAGTACTGTTTATTAATGCATATTACTCAAAACTCAAGATTGCAAGTAGATTGTGCATAAGTACAACTTATTAAAGCTCCATATCTGAATTCGTGTAACTAACTGCAGATAAACATAATCAAATACAAGATAAACATCTCATTTTAAATATAAAAAATCTAAGATATAATCAGGATCATCATTGCGTTTTAACATGATACTTAATTATTATTTTTATAAAATGTTATATTATTAAACTAAAAATAAATTATTTCATTATTAAACTTAAATTAAATCATAATAAAAAATAAGAACTTTTAAATAATTGATTTGATATTAACATTAATATATTATTTTCTCAAAATTTTATGATATTTTCCAATTTATATTTTATTCAAAAATAAAATCATTATTGTTTTTAAAAAAAACATAAAATCGTATTATAACATCGACAGAGACAAATAATGAAATAGAACATTAAAATCTAGATGTGTCTCGCTACATTGTGCGAGTACTCTTATAGTATTATATAAAACCCTGAAAACTGAGAATCCGAAAACCAATTTTTTGGGGAAAATTTGAGCTCAGATTAGGTTTATTTTTGACCACCTGATCCGTCCGAAAACCTGAGAATATGTATATGTATATGTATATATATATATATATATATATATATATATATTAAGGGTTGATTTCACACGAGGTCCGTTTGTTTTCGTAAGACCATTTTTTACACTTGAAACTTTACAGTAAAATATTGTGAATGTAAAACCTTCACAATGTTTTTGTTGTGAAGGTTCAACTTTTTTTACCTTCACAGCTTTCTGCTGTGAATTTTTTAGTGTAAAAAAGTGATATCACGAAAACAGATTGGTCCCACATGATCCCAAATCTATATTTCAAATACTATATACACACACACTTAGTTATCTAATTATCTTTTGAAAACTCTAAAAATCTTAGTGGATCGTGTTTTTTTCTTTCTAATTTACAAGCACACTATCGATTTATCAATCTTATAAATCGATTGAATAAATTGTCAAAATCAATTGGATATATATATATATATTTCATTACAACTAAACCCGAACCCGACCAACCTCAACTTGAAACCTGATCAACCTGAACCTGAAGCAATCCGAAATCCAAAAATTGAGGATTGATTTCCATATCCAAAATCCGACCGGGGTTTTGATTTTCTCACCCGAACCCATCCGACCCACACCCTTAAATCAAACATGATTAAATTTTATTATAATTTATTTAAATTCAAATTTTTTAACGATTCCATTATAAGAGTCAAGCAATTCCTGAAATATATATAAAAAAAGGTAAAATAAAACACTGTTGTATTGCTGTTTTATGTTTTTATCACCCAAAAACCACGCGGTATATTTCGGGTGAAACCGGAAACGTTTTTGCTACTGAAGTTGGGATCACGGAGGAGATTATCAACACCGCCGGCGACGGTGATGGCAGAACGAACAAGGATAACTTTGTCTCCTACGAACCCTAACCGACTGCTTCAAATCAAATCAACTCTCGTTGGCGATCGACTCTCACCGCGGTAATTCATTACATGCATCCTCGTTACGTGGCATGGAATTTCCGTTTTCTTTTATGCTATGATTTATCAGTTTCGTTGTTAAGTTTGTAGTTAACGTTTACACACTAAAATTCAACTTCAATTGGAATGAAGTGCGAGATAATCAATGTGTTTGATGAAGCAACTCAGAGCCAACGCACTCGATGGAGTTAGTTATTGATCAAAGCAAGTAGTAATTATACTTTCGTTTCACCATCGATTTCCAATTTGTAAAACAATATCAAGTTTGCAGGAAGAATATACGCGCCATATTATTCTTTCCCGAGTTGGGGAAAAGGAAGTGGAACCATACCATGATGACGTGGGGGGGACTTGGTCCACTTACCATCATATTGCCAGGATAGAAGTTAATTTACAGAAAGTATAAAGAAATAATGGTAAAATAAAAGGCTAAAGCACAGGTTAACCTTTCTGGATTATGAGAGGGCTTAAATGGGGGAAATAGCATCGTGAGGTGATTGTCATGGAAATTTTGTTTTGAAAAATTGTATTAAAGCATGGGGTCCTTAACGATGTAACCTGATGAAGAAATGTAATGTTAATCCAACTTCATAAAAGAAGTAAAAAAACTAAATGATTATGGTTATATTTGATCTTAGGATAGACAGAACAAGAAACTAAATGAAGTAAAAAAATAAGCAGTAGACCTTAATTTGATGATTTAGCAATGGTAATCGTGATTGAGTATCCTACTTTCGGAAGATAAGATGTTGTAACTTGTAAGTGTAGTTGACTGGTTGTACAAGGTTGAGGAGAGTCGTTTTGTCTTTCGCCAAGAATTATGCTAACTATATGCCTCTCATGTCTACTGTCCGCCGCCACAATCCACATTACATGAGATGGCAAGAAAATCAACAAACAGAAAAAGTGAAGTCCAGAGGTTGTTCAACTACTCCAAACCTAGAAAACCTTTGGTATGTTCATGCCAGGTGTCACTTTTGTTCGGCATTTGCTTATCTACTAGAGTGTCTTCCTCTTGTACTTGCCAAGACTTGGGTAGATAAGCTGCTTACAACCATCAGTAGTTGTTGGCTTTGAGATTCCAACCAACCAAATTAAAGTCATAACACATCCTAGGGATTTATATATTTACAAATATTCTAATCTTAGTCTTCTCAAATTTATTCTCTCTATATATTTCTAATCCTCTGTGCATTCTCATTCACAGTAATCAAGTTCATTTGTCTCTAATTTCAAAATATCTCGAGCCTTCTCTAGCTAATCACAGCAAATTTTACCATGGCTTCCACCAGCTATATTTACCTCCTTATCCTTGGAGTATTCTCCCTTATGGACAACGAGATGTGTTATGCTTCGCGTAATTTGTTGCAGGCAACTCCAGCAGTGCCACAACCACAAATACCTACAATACCAACACTGCCACAACCCCAGATACCCGCTATCCCGACACTCCCGCAGCCACAGATGCCCACCATCCCATCACTGCCACAGCCACAGATGCCCACCTTCCCATCACTGCCACAGCCACAAATACCCACCCTCCCTAACATGCCCAAAGTTTCCTTGCCTCCATTGCCTTCTATGCCTACAATGCCCACAATCCCAAACCTTCCAACAACTTTTCCTAATATTCCTTTCTTCGCTCCACCACCTTCCAAAAAGTAGACTATAAAACAAGGGCGGTGCTGCTAGATAGGAAGAAAAACAATGATACATAGATGTTCATTGTGTGGGGATCAGGAGATTTGATTGATATTGCTTGCGGAGTGTCTTTGATCCATTTATTTTTCATTTATGTTTCTTAGTACATGGGCTTTCAACATATGGGATTGGTAGTTAGGTTTCATGGTCAGACCAGTGCTTTATTGTGTGTTGCTTTTTTATTTATGTACTCTGAGTGGTTTGATACGATTTGCTGTAATATGTCCTTACTTTTAAGTTGAATATTTAATTATTATAAATCATAACTTCAAGCATTGCCTGATCTCTACATCCTCTATTTGAATGGGATCTCGAGTGTTGAAGCTTCATAATTAGCTGTGAAAAGTGGTATTTGATCCTCATAACTTTTCCAAATAACGGGACACATTTGGCACTTACAAGACAAATTCGATAAAGACTTAAAACATAACTGAGATTGAAGGAAATCCATATCATGATCATTGCACAAACATTTCTCAGTTTGCAAGAACTTTGTCAAGCTTCTGATCCGGGGAAGAAGAATAATTACATAATTATATAATCTATAGAAATAGAAGATTAATGGAAATGTTAGTCTCTCTGGATTTCAAGAGGATTTGAAAGGGGCATTTATCCCCGTTGATCCCAAAACACTGGTAGGTCAAGGTGAATGCCATGGAGTTCTGTGTCGTTGATGATAACAAGACGTGGGGTTCCTAATTTATCTTTAAAGTGATGAAGCGAGTTATATGTAAACCAATTGAAGGGAGAACACAAGCCATGAGCTGAGTTCTTTAATTACAGGATAGATCAACCAAGGCCCATGCAAACTCTGTTTTCTACTCCACACCTTTCCTGGTACATGAAAAAAATGAAGGGAAAAAAAATCCCGTAAAAAGGTCAAAACAAAGATGCAAAAATTTAATTGGGGGACAATTTATTTTAGATATGCTGTATCATATTGTCATCTCCATTTGCCTGATCAAATCTACAGTGCATGCAGATGCATGTGAGAAATGGTTCATCGCAGTGTCATCTCCAAGTCTAGATAGATTTTAAAATTGCACAAGTTATTTGGAAACATTCTCTGTACTTAAAATCTAGATAGATTGTCTGATAACCAAGTCTGATGAAATCAATTTCTTACAGATGGACCTGGAGTAAAGAAGTCGATTCCATATGTTATATTATATGATCATCCTCATCGCGAGCAACTGCAAGAAGTGTGCTGCTATTACTTGAATTTCAGTTTTGCTGCTGCACGAACTGTGCCCCATGTTCCACGTTGTTGTCAGACAGGTGTGTCGGTTTACCACAATCACCCTTGACATTGAATTAACTGTTTGACAATATGTTGTGCAAATGTCTAGTGATATATATTATTGTAATTTTGATTGTCCTATATATGAGCATAATCGCTTTGTCTCTTGTCTTGTACATTTGTAGTTTTAAGTTGGTTTTTTGTTCAATTTCAAAGCTCATGTATATGCTAACATAACACTCGCTACTTTTAAGTTCAACACACATTTAACTTGTTATGAAGGTTTTGATTTTGAATTACATGGCAAGATAGAATCATTGTTTCTGAAATTAGGTTACCTAAAATAGGAATATAGGATTCATAAACAAAATCTGTCATACAAATTTGGCGGTTGTTTAACAACTCCAAACCTAGAATCCCAATTATTTTTTGGTATTTTGTATATTAAGTGCTGATCTTTTGGTGAACTGTCTTTTTGTTGTACTTATGTCAAGACTAATCACAACCGTCAACCTTAGCTACCTTTAGAGTTTCCAACCAACCCAAGTAAAAGTCATCACATAACTTGAGGCCTTTTTTAATGTTAAATCATAACCCTCTTGCAAGTTCTCTATATATACTCATGTCTTTTCTACATTACCCTTCACGATTTATCAAGTTCATTTGACTCTAGCTGCATCTCAGGAACTCTTAAGCCCACTTTATCAAATCACGGTAATTGTATCATGGCTTCCACTGGCTGTCTTTACATCTTCATCCTTGCAGTATTCTCTCTTACGAGCAATGAGATGTGTTATGCTTCACGCAATTTGTTGCAAGCAACTCCAACCGTACCACAACCACAAGTACCCACCATCCCAACACTCCCACAACCACAAATACCCACCATCCCGACACTCCCACAGCCACAAATACCCACCATCCCGACACTCCCACAGCCACAAATACCCATCATCCCCTCATTCCCTAATATGCCCAAAGTTACCTTGCCTCCATTGCCTTCTATGCCTACCATTCCAAACTTCCCAACAACTCTTCCCAAAATTCCTTTTTTCGCTCCACCACCTTCCAAGAAGTAGATCATGTACAAACCATTGTTGCAAGATGAGAGGAAAAATCATGATACCAAATCTCATTCTCTAGAGTTCAAGAGCTCTGGTTGATCTAGCCGATTAGAAGGGTCTTTTATCCTATTGTTTTTACATTTATGTTTTCTTTGTAAGTGGGTCACTTCATAGGGGATTGATGGCTAGATTGCTTGATTGATAAGTGTTCTATTACGATTATTTTTAATCTATGTACTCTCTGTGTGGTTCAATATACTTTGTTGTAAGATATTGTTAATGTAAGGTGAACCGTGAATGTGAAAGATTCAATTATTTTAATTCTGTACTATAGGCAATGTTGAACCACATCCTCTTTCAGTCTTTCATACTATGGAGTTGATGCATAAAGTGCTAGAATAGATCCGTGAGTGTCCAAGACTTATAATTAGAGGCAAAAAGTTCATTCTCCATGAATGAGGACCCATTTAGCACTAAAAGCGCAGCTCATTCAAGAAGTTAGAGAAAAATCGTGGAAGCGTACCGTGATCATCTACGCAAAGGTTTCATGAGTTTTCCAGACAAATTCCCGCAAAATATGAATTTTTCTATCTGATTTTGTAACAAGAAGAGTACTGCAACCATACTAGCTCCTGTTCCAAACGTGGGAGAAGAAGAATTACAGAGATATATAAATAAATCATATTCAAAATAGAACATGTACCAAAATGTTGATCTTTCTAGATTACATATGGTTTTAAAGCGGGGATTTAGTGTTAATGGTAGTCCCACAACTAGTAGGTATTCAAAATCGGACCTAAAGCTCCCAAAAATCTCAGATCTAGAGAGGGAAAAGGAGAAGGGAGAGTTGGAGAAGAAGAGTGAGAATAACCCCAAAAATCATAGCTTAAAAATCCTCAGACCACATCCCACGACCTTGCCCTCGGCTTCAAGTTGCGTGGCAAGCCACGTGTATGAAGTTGTTCACTATCCAAAGACATATGCGACCTGTGCCATGGCTCTGGGTCACGCGCCAGGTCGCGCAACTCTTTGCCCTTTCGTGCGTTGGTTGTTTTCGTGTTCCATTCGAACTTCGAAGGTTCCATTACAATACCTATGTAAAACCTTATTAAATTTCTCATCAATACGGTCAAACGGCTTCATAACATTATTAGCGAGACTTCCAAAATTGCGGGTGCTACAATTTATATGAAGGAGAAGGGAAACATAAAAAGGTGAAAACAACGAAAAGAAGAAAACAGGATGACACAATAAGTTACATTGATGTCCGTTTGGCCTAGTAAATATACACCAAGTAAAAAGTAACAAAATGAACTTAGGTTTTAGTGTCTATATATCCTTTCACATTTAATACAAGAATCGTGAAATTGTTCTTTTTCTTTTATTATTTTTTATGTGTATGCACACACAAACACATGTATCACACACTCGTATCCTTGCAACATAGGTGTTAGATCTCTTACATTTGTTGTGTAAAGTTGAGTGATTATTTTTAAATTACTGTGGCAGTGTGAGTCATACCTTACCAGATCCTATTAAAAAAAACTTTTACTAAAATAATTTGATCAATGAACAAAGTCCTCGAGTTTGGAGGCTTTTAACCGCTCACAACCTAAAACCCAGTCATTATTCAATGCTACACACACACATATATATATATAGAGAGAGAGGGACCCTTAGGGGAAAACCCTCAAAAAATGAATAACTGAGGAACACCTTCGTAAACATCCATCTGGACGATATGCATATGTGCATACAAATAATTGAAGTTGTTTCTTGGTTTTTATGCACGTGTGCGTACCGCATAAATTGCTTATAAGTTACTTGTATGCACATGTGCATACCGTCATTAACAGGGTGTTCCTCAGTTTTTCAATTTTTTTTGCGGTTTTCCCCTGAACCTGACCCTATATATATATATATTGGTGTTGCAGATGCTGATATGCTAGTTTGCCTAATTCTTATACTTTCCAAGACTAAGTACAACCCCCAGCCACCTCTGGAGTTTCCAGCCAACCACATTAAAGTCAACAAAACTCATGACCCTTTATTTATTTATATATTAAATCAGTGCTTATTCTCCATATATACTTCTGTGCTTTCTGCATTCTCCTTCACAATTGATCAGATTCATTAGGCTCTGTCTCCCAAAAGCTCTTGAGCATTCTTTAGCAAGTTGCACTAATCCTATCATGGCTTCCATCGGCTATATTTACATTTTCGCACTTGCACTGTTGTCCTTGACAAGCAACGAGATGTGTTATGCTTCGCGCAATTTGTTGCAAGTAGCTCCAACACTTCCACAACCCCAAATACCCACCATGCCAACACTTCCACAACCACAAATACCCACCATGCCGACACTGCCACAACCACAAATGCCCACCATCCCCACACTCCCACAACCACAAGTGCCCACCATCCCCACAATCCCACAACCACAGATGCCCACCATGCCCGCACTCCCTAATATGCCCAAAGTTTCCTTGCCTCCATTGCCCTCTATGCCTACCATCCCAAATCTTCCAACAACTCTTCCGAAAATTCCTTTCTTC